CCTATTGTTGAAGATATTTATGTCTATGATACAGGCAAAAAGGAGTAAAAGTAAGTCAGCAGAAAGCCAGAGGAATCTTAGCCACTAGGAAGATTCCCCTAACAATTCCAGTAAACTAACACTTTTAATTAGTTTAACAAATGGAGGGATAGTCAAAAGTGCCTGGTGAGATATTCTAACATCAAAAACTGAGGAGGTAGTCTAACATTAAACAAGCATTGTTGACACTGAACCTGAAGACCAATGTCATAAATATTTGGCTACGTACAAAAATGTAAACACCTACCATTCACTCAATCTGTTTTTCTCTTTGGACTCAAGGTAGTCCCAAATGGACAGTAAAACTGTATGTCATATTTAACAGTTTGCTTTTTTCTTTATTATTATTTTTTGAGACGGAGTCTTGCTCTGTTACTCAGGCTGTAGTGCAGTGGTGTGATCTGGGCTCACTGCAACCTCTGCCTCCCAGGTTCAGGGAATTCTGCCTCAACCTTCCCAGTAGCTGGGATTACAGGCACCTGCCACCACGCCCAGCTAATTTTTGTATTTTTAGTAGAGATAGGGTTTCACTATTTGAGACAGGGTATCACTTTGTCACCCTGGCTGAAGTGCAGTGGTGCAATCTCGGCTCACTGAAGCCTCCTCAATCTCTCAGGTTCAAGCTATCCTTCTGTCTCAGCCCCCGCAAGGAGCTGGGACTACAGATGTGCGTCACCATACCCAGCTAGTTTTTGTATTTTTTGTAGACATGGGGTTTCGCCATTTTGCCAAAGCTGGTCTTGAACTCCTGGGCTCAAGGGATCCGCCCGCCTTGCTCTCCCAAAGTGCTAGGATTACAGGTGAGAACCTCCAAACCTGGTCTAACAGTTTTTGTTTTGTTTTGTTTTGTTTTAAATACAATCAAAACAGAGTTAGATTGTCCACTGCTCTAGAAATAAACTAGATATTGATCTGGCTCCAAAAGAACAAGGTTAATCCATCTGCCAAAGCGAGGACACTTACTAAGATCTAACTCAGTTTAAATTTTTTTTTTAATTTCTTAACAGACATATAAAAATGTAATTCTCCTTATAAAGACTGCTTTTCATAATTCCTGTTGCCAACAGTAAGACCTATATTTATTTCAATAAATCTGAGCTAGCACTTCGATTCTATCACTGCTTAAATGTGTTTACGAAGCTTAACACATAAAACGTCAGTCTAGTCACCGTCTAGGAAATCTGCTAATTAAATTGGTGATTTTTCAACACAGTGCAGTGACTGTGGATACAACTAACTCAGAACCATAGGTAACTCAGCAGTACAACCTCTCCTACATAATGGATCTTTTCCTTTTTGTAACGCTACTTAAGATTTGAGCAACCACATAGATGTGCTTTATGTAATACCTATTCGTTGGAAACGCTGTGCATACATCCATCTTAGAAAATAAAATTATATTTTAATCACAATAGCAGAGCTTAGTCTTAAAAATCTATGTAGCGATTCCTTCTAGATGAGTAAAAATTATTTTAAAAAGCAGAGGATCAATCATACTGGTGTGTTTTATAAGTTCATTTAGAAAAATAATAGTTGGGTCAAGGAGTGGGTCACCTTATAACTTCTGAGATAGCTTACAGTCTTATTGACATAACTCTATGAAAATATTTTATAGGTTCATGGGACACATCTTCATTTAGAAAGAATGAGGAATAACTTTGTTGAGCCTATGAGAATAAGCAATTGCTTTGAACACGTTCCTGGTCAAAATGTTAAGGCTTCTAAATCACAAAGTGAGTTAGCTACGTATTTGGACTGATGACATACCTTCCATGCTTCTGTGGGCTCTGGCTCAGCTTGCTCAGGTGGCCCGTCTTCCTTTTTCACTTCAGCTTTCACTGTTTCCTTCTGTGCTTTAGGGACCACTGTTTTTTTAGCAGAGGCATCTAGGACACCACCTTCTGCAACCTGACCCTGAGCAATGGCGGGTGCAGAAGTGGGCCGAGGACTTCGGTCTGCCGAATCGACAGCTGCTGCTATGTGAGAAAGGGAAAAGGGAAGAATAAGTAAAGGCCAGAGCTACTGTATTATTTCAAAGTCACCAGGCAAAATAACTGTGAATCCAGGGCACACACAAACGTTACAGTGTGTAGTGGGCTATCATACAGAGGGTAAAAAATAAATCATTAGTGCTCTGCCAGGGAACTGACAGCAACCAGAAAGTTAAATGTACCATCAGTAGAAAGGCTAAAATGTGTTAATGATCATATTCCATGAATGCTGAATTCAGGGGAGACAAGATCAAAGAAAAGAAATAGAAAATCCATTTATCTTGTAATTTTAGTTTCAAAAACCTGCAATGTTGTCTATGGTGGGGAAAAAAGGGTCAACTACATGTGATTTCTTCCATGAGGCCTTTTAAAAATAAAGATGTGTTCATTTTTAGGTTATTTCAGGAATCTAAAAATATATTGTAAGAAAAAAGAATTAAGTCTGATTTCTTCTGTAAGCCTCCTTGGAATGATTACAAAATAACTTGATAAATGGCTCTTCTGGTAAGACACAAACTACTTTCTGATGCTTGTAAGGACAAATCTTTGAAGCAGATGCTCTCCCTTTTAATAATATATCCTTTGATTAAAATAACACGAACTCAAAAATCTTTGTCAGTACTCAAACCTAAACAAAAATATCTTTTGAGTTCTGTCCCACTATCTCTCAGTCTTACCAATTTGTATTATAGCTCTTATTCTCTAATATATTTAGGGCAGTGGTTCTCAACTGGAGTAAATTGTCCCCAGAGAATATTTGGCAATGTCTGGAGACATTTTTGGTTGTTGTAACTGAGGAGGGAAGAGAAAGGAGGTACTGGCATCCAGTGCATAGAGGCTGAAGTTACTGAGGTTAAGAAACCTTAATTTAGGGGAAAAGCTATATACACTGTTTTAGAGAGAATAAACTATACAGGCTTATGATAAAATCTTGATCTTTTCTAAGAGCTAATTGTTGTGTTGGAATATTTGGTATCTAAGTTTTAGACAGCTACTTCAAAACAATCACTCATACCCTTTTTGTGGTTTTTATGTTAATTCTTTCAGGGATATAAAACATTTACACTTTGTAATAAAACTTCACTTATCTGACAGTATCCAGGAATAAAAGTGTTTTTCGACATTGTGTTTCTAATAACATATTGTTATCCTCTTTTGTACTAAGACTTTTTTTTTTTTTTTTTAGACAGAGGCTCTGTCGCCTAGGCTGGAGTGCAATGGCACGATCTCTGCTCACTGCAATCTCTGCCTCTCAGGTTCAAGCGATTCTCCTGCCTCAGCCTCCCCAGTAGCTGGGACTACAGGCGTGTGCCACCATGCCCAGTTAATTTTTTGTATCTTTAGTAGAGACGGGGTCTCACCATGTTGGCCAGGCTTGTCTCGAACTCCTGACCTCAACTGATCTGCCTGCCTTGGCCTCCCAAAGTGCTGGGATTACAGGCGTGAGCCACCGCGCCCAGCCAAGACTTTTATATTTTAATCAATTTGCATGGAAATCAGTAATTTTTATTATATACTTTCCTGCATTCTTAAACTGACTATAACTGAACATAATTCATCCTGAAATTTTTAGATTTATAAATTGTAAGGATCAGATAAAGGAATTCCATAAATCTGAACAGATAAAAACTTTAAATTCTCAACTACTTCATACAACAATATCAAGAAAGAAATGCTTGGCCAGGTGCGGTGGCTCACACCTGTAATCCCAGCACTTTGAGAGGCCAAGGTGGGCGGATCACCTGAGGTGGGGAGTTCGAGACCAGCCTGGTCAACGTGGTGAAATGTCATCTCTACTAAAAGTACAAAAATTAGCCAAGCGTGGTGGTGGGTGCCTGTAGTCCCAGCTACTAGGGAGGCTGAGGCAGGAGAATGGTCTGAACCCAGGAGGCGGAGCTTGCGTGAGCTGAGATTGTGCCACTGCACTCCAGCCTGGGCAACAGAGCCAGACTCTGTCTCAAAAAAAAAAAAGAAAAAGAAAAAGAAAGAAATGCTCATTACCCTATTGTAATCTCCAATGAAAGAACTAATTCCTTAGAGAATATATCGGAAAAACAGCAGAAATTCAAGAATCCCCTTTATTGGCCAGGTGCTATGGCTCATGCCTGTAATCCCAGCACTTTGAGAGGCCAAGGCGGGTGGATCACAAGATCAGGAGATTGAGACCATCCTAGCTAACACAGTGAAACCCATCTCTACTAAAAAATACAAAAAATTAGCCAGGCGTGGTTGTGGGCGCCTGTAGTTCGAGTTACTTGGGAGGCTGAGGCAGGAGAATGGCTTGCACCCAGGAGGCGGAGCTTGCAGTGAGCCGAGCTTGCACCACTGCACTCCAGCCTGGGCAACAGAGCGAGACTCTGTCTCAAAAAAAAAAAAAAAAACAAAACCTCTCCTTTATCTTTCCATGAAAAATCTGTGGCCTCTTGCACAGATTGCTACTACTGGGTTAGTACTAATAACTCTGGATTAGCACAGAGCTACTACTAATGGGTGCTTTAAGCAGTCACTGCAAGAATGGCAGATGGCAGACCAAACCTGACAACACAGGGGAATGTGACAAAATATTTTGCTCACAGTTGTGTTTAAGTATCATTATACATGTGTATTCACACCTCCTCTCAAAGAATTAATTCAACTATGCCTGGCATCACAGAAACATAGCCCATGCTTTCACCATGTGTTATTTTACCACTTGTCCTTGGTTTCAATCCAGTACTAATATTGCCGAGCCAAATGATGTATGTCTTTAGCATTCCTAGCCTTGGCAATCTGTACTGTATGTGGAAAAGAAGGTATTAGTGTGGAAACTGACAGAAACACAGTTCAGAGATTGGAAAAATAATAACATTACAATAAAAAGCCCTGGCTGTGAAAGGCTGCATAGAACAGAGGCAAAAGCCAAATTATGAGTCTTAGGCCCAGACTCAGTCACACACAGTAGTGTGACCTAAGGCATGGAGCTTAATCTTACAAACTTTAGTTTAATCATCTGTAAAATATGGAAGATATTAACTCTATAATATCATGGTAGTGATCATGGCTTTTTAAAACAGTTTTGAGACATAATTCACATACCATACAGTTCACTCATTTAAAATATATAATTCAATGCTTTTTAGTATATTTATAGTGTTGGGGGTAGTGATTGCTTTTTAAGATGTGTGGGTCTTCAGTTTTATGAATTCAGCTATTAATATTTACAACATTTTGGGGCATATATAGACAATACATAACTTAAAAATCCAGTATCTCCCATATCTGAAGGTCTACACAAAGAAAAACGCTGATGGTGACCCACTAACTTCAATACTATATTGCTCTTGGTTGACAACAGAAACTTAGTTACATACTAGAGCAGTAAAGAATAAAATTCAAGCCATCAGACTGAGTAAAGGCAAACAACTTCTACTTCTAGCTGTTATTTACTAGCACAATTTCTGCTAGTGTGCAGTAGGGTGGTTCTTTTATCAGAGGACCACATAAATCATTTGTAGATCTTGAAAAACAAAAAAATCGGATGATGCGTGAGATGAGCTATCCGCCCACTCTAGTGAGATGAGCTATCCAAGAGTGAGGCTTGGGCATGTGTTTTGTTTTAAAGCTCCAAAGGTGACAAGGATGTACACCCCTGGCAAGATTCACTTAATCACTGCTCACCGAATGGATGAACTACCTGGTTGTGTGGCCCTTTCTTTTGTGCTCCAGTTTCCTCATGAGTAAAACCGTAATTCCTAAATGCTTTTTCTTATTCCCTAAGTAGCTAGTATTAAAAAGGAATACATGGAAATGCTTTGAAAAGCAAAAAGTACAAGAAAAATATAATCTTTGTCATCATTATTAGCTACCCTTGCAACTTACTACTCTATCATAAAACTGGGATCAGAACCAGTTTTGGTACTCCAGCTGGTGAGGCAGATGCTCTGAGGACCAGACATAACAGAAGAGAAAGGGAATGCTCATTTTTATCATTAAAATGAGAGCCGTTATAAAGCAATTCTTGTAGAAGTTTCCCTGATACATCATCTCTAGCTTACAGAGTTATATTAATTTTTTGAAAAGGGAGGGGTGACTCAACGGGAAAAAGTATCTTTTAAGGAGCACAGAAAAGTATCTAAGGAAAGGAGGGAAAAATAGTTCCACAGACATGTTTCCAGTTTTTATACCAAAGCACAAAGAGAAAAAGACATTTAAAAACAGAACTACAAAAAAAAATATTGTCCTATTCAGTTTATATGCACTTCAGATACTTAAAAGATATGCAAAATGCTTAGAACAGTGCCTGGAACATACTAAGTGCTCAACCAATATTGACTATTAACTTTTATTCTACCCTTTCTTAAAAAAAAAAAAGTAATCACGGTGAAGAGTAAAAAGCATGGGCCTAGGAGAATGGTCCTGGATTCCCTCCTAATTCTTTCCAACTAGCTATGTGACCTTAGGCAAGTCACTTACATTCTAAGGTTAAGTTGTAAGAACTAATGAACATTGGCTGGGTGCCGGTGGCTCACGCCTGTAATCCCAGCACTTCGGGAGGCCGAGGCGGGTGGATCCCGAGGTCAAGAGATTGAGACCATCCTGGCCAACACTGTGAAACCCCATCTCTATTGAAAAACAAACAAACAAACAAAACACACACACACACACATACACAAATTAGCTGGGCGTAGTGGCGTGCACCTGTAGTCCCAGCTACTCAGGAGGCTGAGGCAGGAGAATCGCTTGAACCCGGGAGGCAGA